CTTTTTTGGCATTTGGAATTGAAACTTGATAAAAGATGTTAAATGCACTTGTGCTATTGTGATTTTGGCCACAACCCGTACATTAAGGTTGTTTAAAATTTGAATTTTAATATGTTAAAAGTTGTAGATTTCATGATGTAATTTGTTTTGTTCAAGTACATACGATGTTTCAAAATTATGTTACAATTCTCGTTTCATTCATTGGATGAATGAAATGTGTCTATGGTAATTTCAAAATCATATTTGTGTCATTCATCTAAAACAAAAATTAAAATATGATTTTAGAATAAGAGATTTAAAGCCTCCTATGTTTATAGCTCACGGCATTGTATGGCTTTAAAAGAGTTGGGTGCAACTGCATTTGGTTGCATTTAGTATGAGGAAATGAAATTGGACATTTATTAGGAGTCTAACCGAGAAGGGTTTTAATTCAATTGCACTTTGCCCCTCCAAGTTATTAGCTTACTATATACGCTCTTTGCACATTTACTTTCAAGATACACATAGTAGGCTCTATAGGGGAAATTGTTTTTGCATTTTACTCCATGGACCAAACAGAGGTTGATTTAGAAATAGTTTGGTGGCAAATGCAATTATCCTTTTTTGAAAAAAAAGGAAAAAAATGCAATTATCCTCAAAAGAGGAAAAAGAAAATTTTGAATCAAAAGCATGATCAATTGAAGGGTCTAAATATTCATCCAACAAAAGGATGTACAAAAACCAAGCCAAACTTTTCATTTGAAAGTTATCCCCTTATTTCCTCGTTGACTTTTTCATAAACAACCAAACAGGGATATTTGTAATTTCTATTAGGGTAGTGATTATTATTATTATTATTATTATTATTATTATTATTATTAACATTATGGTCATTTCGTAATTATCCCAAAACAAAAAAAGAAAAATCCAAGTTAAGCAAAATCAAGATTTCAATACATAATTAGTACAACATTTTCTGCATGCTATTAATGACTTTTCACTTCTTGAGTGATACTCTCCTTGTCCTATCATGCATAAATTCAAGCAAAACAGTGCTCTTGCATTTGGGGCATTTTGGGTCCTCCTCAAACAGCATAACATACATTAGGCACCTTGGGCAGCCCACGAGCATCATGGATCTGGAAACTGGGCTCACTGGGCTTTCCTCACAGGACACACACGAGCTTCTTGGCGATATCTCGGCTGAAGAGTCCGGCCCATTTGGAGACAGGGCCCGCCGGTGGTCCCTTGGAGGAGACAATTTCAGTTTCAACTCCAGATTTGGGCTCTCACACTTGTAGTTCATTTTTTTCTCTTTAACTAAAAAAAATAAAATATAACAATAATAATAATTAAGAGGAAATATTCAATGGAACAGTAAAATATATATATAAAAAAAAAGCTTGTGATTACCTTTCAAGAGGAAATAAACTTCAAATTTTGCATGCAAGAAACTTTTGGATTGTGAGGCTAAGATTTTGTNNNNTGGTTGTGTTTTTAATTTTGTTCATTGAAGGGGTATTTATAGATGGAGCGAAAATTGGGGGACATGAAAGAACAGGGCTGTATTAAATTCCAGAATTGAATATGGATACAAATTGGAGTAGATATAGTTGAATAGGTTTGAGAAATAGAGGGGGGCAAATAAATAATAAATAGAAAAGGATAAATATTAATTGTATTTAAAGAGGAGGGGTGTGGTAGAAGATAAGTGTTAAATTAAATCTCAGGGGAAGGGAAATTTTTTGTATTGATTGTGAGGGGAAAGTTATCACAAGAAGTTTGCTGGAAGAATGAAAATTTTCAATTTATTATTTGCAACCACTGCAATATATGTTAAATAGATACATTCATTGCTGACATTGTTGTTGAACAACATATTACATATGCAAGGAAAAAAAAGCAATTAAAATCTCATTAAAACCCTAACTGCCATCAGATTGAGATATTAAAAGCAAAGGCAACTTTCAAGTGATGAAATAGTAGATAAGCTTTCGATTTTTTTCTTTTTCAAATTCTGAAAAAAGGTTGGTGAATTATCAAAATTACCCTTGAAGCTTATTTGTTGTAGAGCTGTTGAACAAATGAGTTGCTCGTGAGCTCCATTCGTTAGGTTCGAGCTCAAAGTTCTTGTTGTAACTAACAAGAATAAAACTACCACATAACATAACTTCTTGTTGTAACTAACACAAAGTTTAAAGTTCGATAAGATTCAATCATACTTTCTAATCAATCTAGACAAAAATTTCAAATTAAAATTCTAGCTTGAAAGCTCCACACAGGTGCCCTGCCAATTTCAATTGAAGTGAATGTCATGATTTATATTGAAGTTTTGCTTTAAAATAATTAAAATACCACAAATGCTGTTAAACGATCTAACAATTAAGATAATTGACTATTATACCTTTTCTACAAATTTTAATATTTATACTGTTAAATGTTATATTTTTATTTACATTAGTAGACTTGTATTACGTCGGTCAAACCATTAGCCGACATAATATATTCACAAACATGTATATCTTTGGTAGAAATGTCATACAAAAATATTTTCATATACAGAAGTATGACATTTGATAGCATAAGTATGAATTTTTTGTTCATAAAGTATGACGGGTCGACCTGCCTAATAGTTAGTTGCACCACACAAGAATTTATGTCTTTTAAATTCATACTTTATAATGAAATGTATTTCATATGCTAATGGTTATTTTTGTGTAACATCAACCGTAAAAATACGATTTTGAGTAGTTTGTTCAAACTAACTCGATAATTAGTATATGCTAATTAGTGAGGACACTAAACAGTTTAACTGAGGCTAATTGTCGCAAATAATATGCAAACTTTATGGTAACTTGTTCCATCAAATATAAAAGGTACGTAGCTAAAAAACTTAGTAAAGTTAGGTCTCAATGCTCAATCATAACCTCAGCCACTTTTCTTTAAACAAAATTCATTGCATCAACTCAAACTCAAAAGGCCCAGTAATCTGAAACTATATATGTGCCTTCAGTATACACTTTTTTTCCTTTTATTGTTTTTCTAGAAAAAGAAAAAGAAACAAAACTATTCTAGGGCATGTGAGAGTGTATTTGGTGCAAATTATTTATAGCCAGCCAGCATTTATGGGTGTTATTAATTAATATATAAATATGAATAATCAGGGAAAACAAAATAAACTAAAATTAAATAAAAGCATCCTTAAATATTGGCAGACTGGTAGTTAACTATGCAGCAATAGAGACGTCTCCTCTATTTACCTTCTGAGCAATAAATTTTGAAGACAAATTAATGCTTAATTAAATCTGATGGACTATATTTCAACCAACCTTATTAATGCTCACTTATTTTATGGATTGCGCCACATTGCTTCCTGATTAAAGTAATAATGTGCTATAGCACCTTGAACCTGTTGCGCAAATTGCCCTTTGATCCGATCTGCACCGCAATTTGTCGACCTGAATTGTTTCGTCGTCTCTGATGACCTGCAAAACATCGGGAGGAGTCTTAGCAAAAAAGACTCCGACGCTTAAGTCAGTTTGTGTTCAACAATAGTATATTTTGCGGGTGTATGTGTATTGTGTAAAAATAATAATCTGTATTCCCTTTTATAGTTAGGGTTATGTGCTGCCCATGAGACTCCTGGTATGGTAAGAAGTCCTCTCGTATCATCCCTCTAAACTAACCAAATCTTCTCGAATCTTTAGAATCCTCAATGATATATACTTCCCATATTTAAGGGGTTTGGTTCCCCTTAGGTACTCTTCTTAGGCTTCCCAAGACCATCCAGATCGCCACTCCCCAAGGGATTGGAGGTCAGCATCAGATTTGAAGACCCCGAGGTCGCCCTCCATCCTGGAGGTAGCAGCCCTGTCACGAAGGTCGACAGCTTTTCCATTCGACCAAGGGATGAGCCATGCTGACCTAATGCTCCTCACGGTTTGGCCGACCTTCTATGTACTCTATTAGCCAGACTGGTCCTTTCTATTAGCGAGACCGAACCGTCCTCCGAGGTTGGTCTTTCTAGGATCCAACCTGGCATCTATGCCAACCTGCACTTAACCGGTCTATCCCCGACCACTGCCGAGCTAAAACTTTGTAGTTGAGTTGGCCGACCTCAACTCTCCTGAGGCCGATCATGTGATGGCCGCCCTGACACTTGAACTATCTACAAACCTCTGACCTGTCAATGACCAGAACCAAGTTGAGGCGCCAACGGTCCACGCGACCTACTTTCAATGCTATACCATCTAGGCCCCCATTCTTTGAACGAGCTGCTAGAGCATGTTCAAGAATGTTCACAAGAATATCTGGATCGGAACCGCGCGTGTTCTTACATCTTTCTACTAGGTTGCCCTGGACGCGTGACATTAGCCAGTGCACCCATCAAATTAGTCACTTCCTGCACACGTGTCCAAGCTCCACCTTTGGTTTGTGTTTAAAACTGGACATCAATGATTAACAGACCTTTTTTGTCACCCTGTCATGATTTAGACCGTCCATCCTATTCCGATCTGATGGCCTAGGTTCATCATAGTCGGTTCGTCTTCCCCACTCTTCTTATAAATTCTCATCGGGCCACCACAAGTCACTTTTTATTGCTCTTGCAATCCAAACAGATAGATATGAAGCTTTGTATCCATGGGCTGTCATAAGGCTCATTTGTAGCATACATAACACAAAGGCAATTCCTTATGCTTGGCAATAGAAAGCCTAGTGTATGCAATGCGGTAAATAAGGCTTGATATCTATTATTGCCATTGATGTGACAAGGTGAAAATATCCTGTTAAGGATTAGTTCGACTGTAGTAAGCAGCTCGACATCTCGGTTTCGAGTATGCGAAGATGTGTGGAGTCGAGCTCGGCGGGGACCGTTTAGCGGGAGAATCTCAGCAGTTCTGTCTAGAATTGGTAACTGACTGAGGTCCGCGCGGCTGTGTCGCTGAGATCGCTTTTCTCCAGCTCGACCTCGGGACCATGGGGGCAGCCCTTGGAAAATCATGCTATGAAAGTGAGTCCTTTACAGCTTAGGAGTTTATACCTTCAAGGACTCTGGATACGATAAAGATTTGGGTAATAGATAAGAAGGGCCTAGGGAGAATTTTTGCTCTGCTAGGAGTTCTAAGGTCAACACGCAACTTCAACTATAATAGGGGCACATGTTCTTATTTTTATACAACACATATACACGCGTGAATCTATTCTCTCGATAATACTGGATGTGAACTGACTTGAGCATCAGAGTGTTTTCTGTCGGGACCCCTCCCGGCGTATTGCAGGTCACTGTAAGCACCAAGGCGGTTCGGATCAGCGAATTATAGTTCAAATCGGGTCAATGAGTAATTTGCGAAACAAATTGGCGCCGTCTGTGGGAATTTCTTATCTTTTACCGGTTATAAGAGGCTAAATTTTTCTCACATAAAAAAAAAAGGAGAAAACTAGTAATGACAGAAGATAATTCCATAAAGAACTTGACAAAATACAAGGATGGGGCATGGACTCAGAGAGCATTGGGGACAGGGCCACCGCCAGGATGGTCGCAGCTAGCTATCACCCCAAAGGAGACATTGCCAGCACCTGGTACGGCAATGACGCTGCTGTTAGCACCTCAGAGGCAGTCGCCAAACCTGACGACAGTGAACCCTAGGGGGTCTGGCGGCCAAAAGGATCAAAATAAGGATCTCGACACCCAGACCGAAGGAGCGACCAATAAGCAAGTCGATGGGAAATTCGGTGGAGGTGAGGAATAGGCAAACCACAACGGCAACAGACAGATGATAGTGGTAGGAGGGCAGAACCCTCCAGAAGATCACCCTTTCCCAGCGCCAAGGGGGGATCAAGTCATTCAGATGACCAGGGCGGAGCTGGATAGGATCATTGCTGAGGTGATAGACCGAGCTCAAGAAGTAAACATGAGGGCTCCTAATGAAACATTCCGACAACCACTGCCTTAGCAGCCATCCATGCATCAAGAGCAACACCAGCGCTAAGAGAGGGGCGAGGAAGACGACACCAGATCGGTAACCTCTCGGCCTGCCATACCAACAAAGCAAGATGGGCTGACTTTGTAAAGGCTACCAGCTCAGATGCGCGTGCTACAAGCTCGAGTGCAGGTTAAGAGGTCAAAGGTGTCTCAAGGCATCCTTTTGTGGACGAAGTCTTGGGAGGTGATTTGTCAAGTAATTTCAGGGAATTGAGCCTAGCTTATGATGCTCGACGCACCCATTGAGGCATCTAAGGTCGTTCGATAATATAGCGGTGTTACACAAATATAATGACGCTATTAGTTGCCGAGCATTCTTTTCAACTTTAAAGGGTGTCCCCGCACGACTGGTTTTACCAACTACTGACAGGTGCCATTGATAGTTTTGAGAGATTCAATTCTCTATTCCTGAACTAGTTTGCAAGTGCCAGGAAGCATGAGAAGACATATCTCTCACTGATAAACATGCAGCAGAAAGAAGGGGAATCTTTGCAGCAATATGTGTCGCGATACACTAAGGAATGTGTAGAGGTTCTTTCTGCTTCAGAGAAAATAAAGGTTGGGCGGGGCTTAGGACTTGAAAAGCCTAGGGATTCACTAGCAAAGAGACTGACAAGATCCTTTGACGAGCTCCTCGAAAGATGCAACAAGTACGTGAATATGGAGGAAGCAGAAGCTGATTTCATTCACAATGATAAAGCGAAAGTGAAGCAGATAGAGGAGAAATCTCCTCAGAACGATCGACGATCTCCCGAAAAAGAGTCAAAAACTAAAGATCGGTTCAAGGGTCCGAGTTATGAGCATTACAATAGCTAAACGCACTGCATAGGAGGTCCTAGAGGTAATGGAAAGGCAAGGAGAGACGAAGTTACTCGCACAACCTAAACCTCTCCCCCTCGCCACGAAGAGGGTTTTCCAAAGGAAAGGACAAGTACTGTCAGTACCATGGCGACTATGGCTACTCCACCAACTTCTGTCGAGAATTGACAGACGAGATTGAGCGGTTCATTAGTTCCAGGCACCTAAAAGAATTTGTGGTCAAGGATAAGGAGCGCCAGGAGAACCGCCACGACAGATGAGAGTCAGGCAATAAGAGCAAAATGGCGGAAGAATAGACCGGTAGACCATTAAGAAAGGGAATAATGCACATGACCGTGGGAGGACCCACAGATGGAGACTCCCATAGGGAAAGAAAAAGGACATATCGCGGAAAGGGAGTTTGTAATGAAGTAGCCGAGGTACGAATGCAGACAAGCTTGACCACTCTAAGGTTTGAAGCAAAAGATGCGCAAGGACTTATGGTTCCGCATAATGATGATTTGGTTATCACTACAGAGGTAACCAGTTATGACGTACATAGGGTACTCATAGATATAGGAAGCTCGGCAAACATCATTTTATGGAAGTGCCTATATCAAATTGAGCTGGAGGTGAAGATTGAACTAGTTCACATTGCCCTATATGGATTTAACGGCAGCGAAGTTCGCCCCCTACGCGAAGTGAGTTTGACTGTGGAATTGGGGAGGTCACCTTTGAGGGAGGTAAAAATTGTTCGGTTCTTGGTAGTGGACGCAAGCTCGGCATACAACATCATATTGGGCCGACCTATTCTGAATTCATTCCAAGCTGTTGTTTCAACTTATTGCATGAAGATTAAGTTCTTCGTTGAGACTGAGGTTGGAGAAGTGACAGAAGATCAGTTGCAATCTCGACGATGTGTCACGCTGAAAACAGCCGAGGCACAAAACAAAAGGAGGAAGCAGGACGACCAGCCTGAGTGCTCGCGTCAAGAGAAGAAACAAAACTGGGGATGAGTTCTCAGGATTAGTTAATAGAAGTTGAGCTAATTGAAGGAAATCCTACTAAAACCAAACATTAGGGAGGTGCTCGTGGAATTGTTGAGGGATTTCATGGATACTTCTCTTTCTCGGTTGAGGATCTTATAGGGATCAGCTGGGAAGTAGCAGAGCATAGGCTCAACGTCGACCTCACGGTGAGGTCGGTCAAACAAAAGAGGAGGCACTTTGGCGCCAAGCTAGATTTGGTAATAGAAGAAGAGGTGGAAAATTATTAAAAGCAGGGCATATCCGGCCCATCCAAATTCTGGAGTGGTTGTCGAACTCAGTTATGGTAAGGAAGGGAGAAGGAAAATGGAGAATGTTCATTGACTTTTTGGACCTTAACAAGGCCTGCCCTAAAGATCATTACCCGCTACCACTTATCGAACAGCTCATCGATTCCACAGTTGGTTGTATGAGTATGATAGATGCCTCCTAGGGTTACCACTAAATCCCCTTGGCCAAGGAAAGAGAATTAGCTCTGTGACATCCAAGGGCACTTACTACTATGTAGTGATGCCCTTTGGACTATAAAATGCATGAGCCACCTACCAGCGGTTGGTAGACAGAATGTTAAAGAGGTAGATAGGGAGGAACATTGAAGTTTATGTTGATAACATGCTTGTGAAAAGTACAAAGGCAGAAGATCCTGTGGCAGATCTCCGTGAAACCTTCGATACATTGTTGCGGTTCGGCATGAAGCTCAACCCAGCAAAGTGCAAATTCGGTGTGAGGTTAGAAAAATTCTTAAGGTACATAGTAACTGAAACAGGTATAGAAGTAAACCCATAAAAGGAGCAGGCTGTCATTGAGATGCAGACACCAAGGAACTTAAGAGAAGTGCATATTCTTACCGGACGCCTAGCAGGTCCAATCAAGTTCATAGCTCAACCAGTTGAGAAGATCTTCCCATTCTTTAAAGCTTTGAAGAAGGGGTCTCGTTTTGAATGGACACCGCAGGCGCAACATGCATTTGAGATGTTGAAGGAATTTTTGGCGGAGCTCTCCTTACTTACGAAGCCATAGCCAAGGAATGCGTTAATAGCATACCTATCGGTAGGAAACGAGGCCATCAGCTCGGTGTTGATCAAGGAGGAGAATGGTCAACAGAAACCAATATATTACACTAGTCGGATATTACAAGGAGCTGAGCACATGTACTAAGATGTTGAGAAGGCAGCGTTGGCACTCATTTATACAGCACGGAGGTTGTAACCTTATTTTCTAGTGCATAAGGTCGTGATACCGACCAACTACCCACTCAAGGACACCGTAGGTCGCCCTTCGGCTTCAGAAAGCACAGAAAGCTATCAAAGCCCAAGCATTGTCCGACTTTATACATGAGTGCATGTTAGGGGCCGAAGTTGGACCATGGATGGTGTATGTCGATGGCTCGTCGGCAATAGGGGGTGATGGTCTCGGCGTCCTGGTTGTAACTCTTGAAAAGGATCACTTTGAATTTGCAGTCAAGCTATCCTTCAGAGTGTCGAACAATGAGGCACAGTATGAAGCTCTCATCAAGGGGATTCAGCTCGTCTTGAAGGAGGGAGCTCGACAGGTAATCATTCATTCAGATTCCCAGCTCGTGGTTGAACAAATAAAAGAAGAGTATGAAGCCAAGGAGAAACTCATGAAGAGGTATGTGACGGGGGTCCATTCAATGTTTAAAGGATTTACGACCTGGGAGTTGGCACAAATACCGCGAGGGAAAAATAACAGGGTCGACCTTCTCTAAAAAATAGCCGCGTGTCTCGTAGACTGCTGATCTCGGTCGGTCACACTGCTGGACATGACTAAGAGCATTAGATCAGATGCTATAAGTTGACGAACAAAAAGACTGGAGGTCGCCTTTATAAAATGGTTGCAGGAACCTGTTACGGGAAAAGACATTAGGGATGACCCGGTCGGAAGGAGGGCTTTGAGGTTCTACTTGCAGAATGGGATTCTGTACAAGCGATCGTCCGTAGGGCCCCATCTAAGATGCGTCTCTGAGCGAGATGGAGAGTACGCACTTGGAGAGGTGCATGAGGGATGCTGTGGCGACCACGTAAAGGCTAGGGCATTGGTCGGAAAAATGCTTCGGGCTGGATATTTTTGGCATAAGATGAGGATGATGGCGCAACACCTTGTGCGAAAATGTAAGAAGAGCTAGCAGAATGGTCCATTAATCCATCTAGCAGTAGAGAACATGATACCAATTAGTTCGCCCTTGCCTTTTACTTAGTGGGGAACTGACATAGCAGGACCCTTGCCTCAAGCAATAAGTCAACGGAGGTTTTTGATAGTGGCAGTAGACTATTTCACTAAATGGATTGATGCTGAGTCGTTGGCAACAATTACAGAAGAAAAGGTGATAAAAATTTTGTTTGTCAATATCTGCTGCCGGTATGGAATTCCACGGGTACTTATATCCGACAACAGAGCTCAATTTAGAGGTCAGCGTACGATGAGTTGGTGCGAGGATATGGGCATTAAACAACAGTTCGCGTTGGTAGAACATCCTCAGGCAAACGGGCAGACCGAGGTAACAAATAGGTCAATTCTTAGCGAATTAAAGGCTAAGACATAAAGGGCCTCAGAAGCTTAGGTGGACAAGCTCAATTCGGTCCTCTGGTCATACTGAACAACACTGAGACCCGTGACAGGGGAAACTCCCTTTAGCTTGGTTTATGGCATGGAGGCAGTCATTCCAGCGGAGGTCGACCTCAGCTTAGAAAGAATTTACACCTATGCAGAGGAAAAGAACACGGAGCTGCGAAGGGAGGCACTCGATCTGGTTGATGAGTTACTTGACCGGGCGGGATTAAGGATGACGGCTTACAAGCAACGAATGAGGGTGGCCCATGATAATTCAGTTCAAGCTCGACATTTCCAGGTAGGAGACTTGGTTTGGCATCAAGATGATGCTTTGAATTATGTTGGGAAGTTGAAGCCAAACTAGGAGGGACCTTATACCGTCGAAAGGATCTTCGTAAGAGGCGTCTATGAGCTCTGTGATGCAGAGGGACAGCTGATTCCCCGGCCATGGAACATATTGCATTTGAAGAAGTATTATGCATATCTTGGGAGATTGTTGATGTTCGTTTGTTTTTGTTATTTCCTCGGCAGCAATATTTGAATAATAAAGGTTATGTTTTATCAGCTTGATTGTTGTAGGGTGGAAGCTTGTTAGTCCCGTTCGATGCTCAAGGAGATCGGCGACGATTATGGTAGGGCGAAGCCTATTAGTCTTGTTCGATGCTCAAAGAGCTTGGCGGCGACTATGGTAGGGAGAAAGACTGTTAGTCTCGTTCGATGCTCGAGGAGCTCGACAACGACTATGGTAGGGCGAAAACATTGGAGTCTCGTGAGGAGCTCGGCGACGACCATTGTAGGGTGGAATGACTGTTTAGTCTCGTACGAGCTCGCGGAGCTCGACGACGAGCGTTAAAAGTCGAAACGCATGATATAGCATCGCCCAAGGTCGTAAAGCTCGGCGACGGTCGTGATATAGCAAAATATGCCAAAATCAGGTGCCAAGTAGGGCAAGCGCCTGAAATCACTATGCGAGTTTGTAAAGCTTAGCAAAGGTTGTGCTGGCGCATAAGCCCGTGGTCACAATGCTAAGTCTTGCGAAGCACGCGGAAGGCTTGTAGAAACTAAAAACACGAAAGTAATTAAGTTGACGACGAGTTGCTTGGGTGCACGACACTTAGAGTAAGAAATGTCATGTAAGTGTATGTTGGCGTCACACGAGAGATAAATAAAAAGTGATGAATAAAGACAGCATGTGCGACGATAAAACAAATAATATATGGAGCCAAAGTGCATTCATTCAAGCAAAATACATCGGTGGTCGAGAATACATAGCATATGACGAAATAGTGCGATTAAATACCAAAAGGATTCAAGTTCCGTCCTAACAAAGAAAATAAAAAACATAATACAAGTTAATTCAGGCCGACGACATGTCGACCTCTTCCTCCTCCTCTTCACCAGCCTTCTCGACCTCCAACCCAGCTTTGCTAGTGGCGACTTCCAAGGTCGGCTCCCACCAAGGGTGAGAAGCAGCGAGTGACTTGTCGTGTTCCATCCTGCCGGCTCAGGAAGCCCTTTGCCTAGCTCGACTTCATTCCAGGAGCCAGTGAAGCCTTAGGCTGTGGCCTGCGCTCGGGTCCACGCAACCCCCTCTTAGAATTACTGTGGCACGTAGGGAAGATGCTTTGGAGGAAGACGGTTGACTGATGATAGTATGACATTAGCTCGGCCCAGAAGTGCTCAATAAAGGTTATGCCGAGGTCAAAAGAGAGTAAAGAGGCCAGTCCTTCTTCGCGAGCTCGGCATACTCGATCATCCGCGGAGGTACACAGTTTGCCCATTTCGGCGTGCTTGGCCACTCGCGCAACCAAGTGGGCCTCGAGCCCTTCTTTCTCGGCCTTTTGGAGGGGGAAGGCCTCCCGTAAGCTAGCGAGCCGAGCTTTTCCCTCAGACACCTCGTTCTTCAGATCCTTCACCTCGACAGACTCACCTGCCAGGGATTCATGGAAGAGGGGAGCCAGGCTAGCCAGAGTCTGGTAAGGAGTAATGATGATGAAAAAATAAGACAAGTGATTGATAAACAAAGTAAATACAAGCAATTTATTCTATAATGTCCATATACTAGGTGGGGAAATGACATACTAGGCTGAGGTGATAAGTGATGGCGGTGGTCCATCAACGGACCTGCGTCAGACGGAGCTTCTGCGAGTGCGTACGGCCATGGGGCTACGATGGTGTGTGTCGTGCGGTCGCTGTGGTCGAGCACTTGGCACTGCGATGCTGTTGTAGCAGCGGTGCTCCAACAGCTACGGCTGCGTGCGACGGTCAGTCTGGCGGATGCGGTGGTCGAAAATGGTCGTCCTCTCCAAGTTGGATGGTGATCAGACAATCCCTGTGGATAAAAATATTTGTCGAGATGTGAAAAATGAGACGTTATGATCTTCCATCTATTTGACCTCTACACCTACTCTGAGTAGTCTTGATGATGCGACTAAAAGGAACTCCCAATTCTCAACATCTAAGACTCACGATTTTTCTCTCTTGGAGGAGACCTGAAAAACGTGTGAATATATGTGTGGGAGGAAGCTTGGGACATAGTGTATTTATAGGCTACAACAAGGACCCTAAGGATGTGCTAAATATTAGCACCCAAGTGTGAACACTCTTGATATTTTTGTTCGACTCATATCAAACCATATTATCTACAATGTAAAATAAATTAACTATGCTTGCATTAATTAATAAACTACAAACACGCACATGACTAAAATTCGAATCTCATTCAAAATGGTATTGTCTTACATTGAAAGTCGAGCTTTTATAGTAGATCCTAACATGGTATTATCTTACATTGAAAGCCAAGGTTACGTCTCGCGGCGGTCTATTAATCGTCGGCGACGCGATTGTCCTCTCTTCGCCTCCTGCTTCCGCACATTGCCTACTTAGAGTTCATCAGAACGTGTTGCTCCACCACAGAAGTAGGATGTTTCGCCCATGCAATAGATTGGTCCACCGCCGCTGCTAGCTGCTCCACCACCGGATGAGGATGAGACACCCCTAACCTACCAATCACCTCCCCGATGATCTGGTCCAGCTCACCTCTGGTAAGCTGTATCACTTGTTCACTCTCCCCCACTGGAGCTTCTCCCTCAACTGCCTGAATAACCACTTCATTCTTTTTTCCCTAGATAAAATTTCCCCAATGTTGATCCGATGCCAAGACTCGATTCACCCCTGACACGCTAATCCTCGGTGTAACAAGTGCTTCTTCCCTGTTAGACCATCCTGAAGATGGCCCAGCTCCAAAAGGTCTTTTGACCACCACACCTCCTCCAAACTCTCATCCAAGTTCTTCTTCCAACTCTCATCTGCCATAATCATTTACTCCATCTTAGGTTCCTCTACAAGTGATAGAGAAATGATTTTTTCCACAGACGACACCAATTGATCATCTCTAGCACCTCGAACTAGCCCTCCGATCGTTCTTTGTCCGATTTGCTCCCCGAACTTTGCCCTACCCAACTGCCGGAAGGCCTGCCCGAGTGCCCAGACTGACGAATGTGTTGCCCGTCGGTTATTTGGCTACCGTGGGTCTCCCCGAGCTCAATTCTTACCCGTCGAATCATTTACCCCTTTTACTTGTGCCCTACACATGTCCACTGTTAACAACCAAACTCCGATTTGCTATGTTGCCCAATTCTGTCCCATGTTCAAGCTTTTATTTATTTGAGCTACCTGGCTTCCTGTCATCTCACTGTCAATTGTCCGAGCTCCTTCTTCTGTTATGATATCCAAGCTAGCCTATGTTCGAGCGAGCTACATACACATCTAAGAAGTTCGAGCTACTTGAGCCCACGATACATCTGTCATATGTCTGAGCTACTTGTTTTGTTATGATATCCGAGCTATCCTATGTCTGAGCTACAGATACATCTAGTAAGTTCGAGCTACTCAAGCCCACGATACCTCAGTCATATGTTCGAGCTGCTTGCCAGTTATGTTAGGACACACCTCGATTGTCCGAGCTGTTAGGGCTCTTAAGATCTTGGGCCCATTAACCGAACTTTCTATCGCCGGTTTACTCGAGCTAGCTAAGATTTACCAATTAGAGGTGAGCATGGGTCGGTACGGTTCAGAGATTGATAAATCATCAGAACCGTACCGAAGTTCGGAGATTACTAAAATTCGATCTCCAGAACCGTACCAAAAAATCGGTTCGGTCCGGTTCGGAGATTTTTATTTTTCGGTTCGGAGATTTTTATTTTTCGTATCATTTTTTAAATTTTTTTGAATGACCACCTAGTTATATTTTATTTCTATTGAACTTCTTCTCCGTTCCCCCTCTGAGCCAGTTCACTAGTCGATGCAATCTAAGAAATGTTTTATTTTTTAATCCAACATTCATCAATACTTCTTCATATTAAAGATAATATTTTTAAATCAACATTAGAAGTAACCCTAAACTTTAGTTAAGACTAAATTCAACTAACATTGAAAATTTAAATTCAAACAAATTATAATACAGTTTTATATTAAAGTAATATTTATTTAACCTTCCATACCATGTTAATTATAAGATAAACTAAGGGTAAGTATCGACACTTAAAGCTTAAATATTTTTTTAAAAATCTTTAACCTTTCATTCCATTTATTATTTTTTAAACATGAGAAATTCAATTGTAGATCAAGTATTACTAAACATGAAATGTAAGTGAATCTTAATTATTATTACTATATTTTATTTGCATTTTAAAAATTCTCAAATTATATAGGATTAAAGTTGACATAAAATATATTAACAACACGCATCTATTTTTATAATTCGGTTCTTAATTTCAGTTCTTCGATTTGGTACGGTACAGGACGGTTCGGTTCGGTTCTTGGTACGGATATTTATGAAATCTCCAAAACCGTACCAATTATTTTTTCTGTTCGGTTCGGTTCAGAGAAAGTCAAACGGTCAACGGATATTTTTCAGTTCGAAGTGATTTCGGTTCGGTTTTCGGTACGATTCAGAATTCTCCGAGTCCCATGTTCAGCCCTACTACCAATCAAGCTGATTGCAGCCGGTTTACCCAAACTACACTATATACTATATCAAGTAAGGATTTCATGGGCCGAGTTCGGATCCAAAAATATTTGGATTATTGGACCCGCAACTTCAT